AAACCCCTAAACCCTAAAACCATCCTCTGAGCCTTTCAGAACATTACACTTATGCATGCAGGAGCCTTAAGCCTGTGCAGCCCCAAACCAAACGCAGCAGAAAGTCTTGGTTTAGGGTTTAGGGTTTAGGGTTAGGGTTTCCCAAAATTAAGGGTACCATTTTAGGGGTCCCCATAGTAAGGACTATAGTATATTAGGGTCCCTCTGTTTTGGGAAACTACTTCTTGAAAGCCTCAAGCATGAACGCCTACCCCTGAACTCTAAATCCTACACTTGAGGCCGCGGACCCTCAGCCCTGAGCTCTAAAACCCTAAACGCTAAACCCTGCACGCTAAATCCCATAAACCCAAATTTTGAGGAACCTTAAACCCTAAACCCTAAACCCGAAACCCTAAACCCTAAGCCCAGATTTTGAAGTCAAAAAGTGCCAGTGGTACAAATCGAGCACGGTTCCGCAATCTGCGGACGTTCTCGTTCGTCAGCTTGAGAATGTTCTTACCTTGCCAAGAAGGTTAGGGTTTGGGGTTTAGCGCTTCAGGCTTAGGATGTAGAGTCTAGGGTTTAGGGATTAAGGTTTAGTTAGGACTTAGGACCGAAGAACTTCAACAATCTTGTGGGAGGGGTCCTAGCATAGACGATTCACAAGCCGTAGGTAACCTAAGACTCCCTAACCCTCCTTAATCCTCCATATGTATTTTTCATTCTCTCATCTAGCACCCGCTGCGCCCCAAATATCGCCAACCATATCAACCCTCACACTTAACCAAAAACGTGGCGTAAAGCCGTTTTGAAATGCTTTTCCATACAACCCACGATTTCGGTTGAGGTTGCCATGAGTTGCCTCGTTTTCATCTGCCAGAGCATGCACGCCGCAAATGACTACGACAAAGATGTTCCTAGTTCCAACGGCACTTCACATTGTCCGTGTTCGTTCATTCCAAAGCAGACCAACTGACCATCTGATCTCACGGCGCAGGTGTGACAACCGCCTGCTGCAACTGCCACAACTGGCCCGAAATCCGTTGGCACATCACATTGTCCGTGTATGTTCAATCCAAAGCAGACCAACTGACCATCTGATCTCACTGCGCAAGTGTGAAAACAGCCCGCTGCAACTGCCACAACTGGTGGCCCGAAATCTGTTGGCACACCACATTGTCCGTCGTCGTTCCATCCAAAGCAGACCAACTGACCATCTGATCTCACTGCGCAAGTGTGACAACCCCTTGCTGCAACTGCCACAGCTGGCCCGGAATCCGTTGGCACATCGCATTGTCCGTGTACATTCAATCCAAAGCAGACCAACTGACCATCTGATCTCACTGCGCAAGTGTGAAAAGAGCCCGCTGCAACTGCCACAACTGGCCCGAAATCCGTTGGCACATCACATTGTCCGTCGTCGTTACATCCAAAGCAGACCAACTGGCCGTCAGATCTCACTGCGCAGGTGTGATAAGCGCCTGCTGCAACTGCCACAACTGGCCCCAAATCTGTTGGCACATCGCATTGTCCGTGTTCGTTCCGCCCAAAGCAGACCAACTGACCATCTGATCTCACTTCGCAGGTGTGATAAGCGCCTGCTGCAACTGCCACAACTGGCCCCAAATCTGTTGGCACATGGCATTGTCCGTGTTCATTCCTTCCAAAGCAGAGCAACTGACCATCGGATCTCACTGCGCAGGTGTGACGACCGCCTGCTGAAACTGCCGCAACTGGTCCCAAAACCGTTCGCGAATCTAGCTGTCTCTCTGAATTCACGCCACAATGAGGCAACCGAATATCTGATCCCAATGCTTCAGATTTGGAGCCAACTTCTCTGAACTCCAGTGTCTGCAGCGGCCTTTGAATGTTGCAGGACAGTCGTCGCACATTTTCCCGCGGCGGCCTACCTGGATGACGCACTGGAAACCAGCCCGAGCCAAACCACCCGAAAAGATGTGCTGCAGTCCAGCATGTCCAGGAGAGCATCGCCAGTGCCACACCAACTCTGGGAGCAGGCATCGCTCCGAGAAGGCGATAGGACAGCCGTCCGACACTTCCAATGAGGGACTATAGGGTGGATAAGGTGGGCGATGATGGTAATCATCCAGGCCTAAACAGAGACATGGCACTTGGCCAAATAAGACCGTTCCCAAAACAGGGAAAATATTTAGAGACCCGTGCTGTAACAGAAGACGTTGCCATGGGGCCTTGGGAAAGCCTGTACTGGTGCTACTCAATAAAAACTTGTTTGAAGATCCATGTATTTTGGGTGGACCGCTCACCCTGTAATAATGGCATGGAAGGAAGATACGGAGGCGCTAATATAATCACATGGCAGGGATATGTATGGCATAATTTCCACTTATGGTACTCAAAGTCTGACACCAAATGTATATACACACTCACCAACAGTCACAGGGAGCCATAGTGGCCCTCTGTAAGGACCTGCACCACAACCATCTGCATTCACAGAAGGATCACATTGACATGGGGACCACTTTGTGAAACACCTGACTGAGTCTTAGCATGGTAGAAGGATAGAAGACGTTTCAGGGCTACGGTTAAGGTTTAAGGTTTAGGGTTTAGGGTTTAAGGTTTCGTAGTTTAAGCTTGCGGGCTGAAAGGTTTCGGGTTTTGGTTGGAGGGCATGTATGGGGTCTACCTACACCAGCCCAATGCCAAGTACCCTTTATACAGCCCAAATACCCACAACTGGGATCTATATACCCTAAGGGTCCAAGTACCTAATAATCATATACTCACCCAAAACCTATACTATAATTTCTACTACGCAAACCCCAAGTACCTAATTATTGGGTACTTGGACCCTCTGGGATAGACCTTGTTTACAACCAGGGCTTAGCGCCTTTTATCCCCAGATCGAATGGCTCTAGGGTTGGACTTGCCGGTTAATAGGCTTGTATTAAGGGGCCCTTACTGAGTAGCGTTTTTTTAGTGATTGAACCCAGTAAGATTATATTCCTCATATAAAGTACTATACCCTAAGAGGAGGATAGAATCTTACTCTATCTTGGGTACCATAGTACCCCCAAACAAAATACTGCTCTTATGAGTGAGATACCAGGCCGTAGGGGTCCCTGGTACGTCTGACCCTAGAAGCCCAGTTACCCATATATTGGGTTCCTGTGCTTAAGACCCTATACAGTTTTATATGTCTGTAACCCAAGGACCTACTATATGGGTACCCTAAACCCTAAACCCAAACCCTACTATATGGGTACCTGGGCTTCTAGGGTGATAATCTCCAGAGAAGCTCGATTTCCATACCTTGCCTCGAAATGCTGCGTTTCCTTCCCCAGGGGGTTGAGTTTAGGGTGTAGGGTTTAGGGTTTAGGGTAAGTCCATGAGTCATGCCTAACTCAGACCCCGGATTAATAAACCCCCTCCCCTTAATAGGGGTTATAATAGGGATCCTACTATTAAGGGCCCTAAAAGAAGGGGGTTTATTAATCATGGGTCTACACCCTAAACCCTAAATGGTAGTTTCCATTTTCTTTTATCCCTATATAACCCCTAGATATATATACCCTATAATCCTTATATAAGCCCTATAATCCCTATATAACTCCTATATAACCCTAATATAACCCCTATATTAATCATGGGTCTACATTACTTTGGGGGCACTTTCCTAAAGCCTAGAGGTGATAACTGACTGGGGCTTTCTGGAGCCTTGAAGGTAGGGTTTAGGGGTTTAGGGTTTCAGGGTTTAGGGTTTTGCGGGTTGTCTGTCCATGACTTCGGGCTCTTTGAACTTTCAAGGTCCCTAAATCCTCAACCCTTGGGATTTCGGATGTCAGATATCTGTGTGGGATGATACAAGTAAGTAGGTTCTAAATGAGCTATTGTCTAAACTCCTAGTATCCCCCGTAATAACCCCTATAGTAGTCCCCTATATGAACCCCTTTAAGGAGTTTAGACTATAGCACATATGGGGTTATGAGTCCCCTAACTGGCAATAATTGGGATCCTCTATAAATCCACTTGTCCGCAAAATTATACGGTCCACAATGCGAGCTTTGTAAAACGACCTCTAAGTTTGATGCCCCGCCCACCCGTAATGTATGGGCGGCAATATGAAACCCACATTCACCTGTTCCGGGGTCAGGCGGGGGGAGCGCTTTGCGTACAACCTCCTTGGTAGAACTGAGCAACTCTCGAATAAACTCCAAACCCTAAACCCTAAACCCTAAACCCTAAAGCCAGAAACCCTACTTTTCAGGGATCCGAACTTTGCCATGGACATCCTACAACCCTACGCCCTATCAAACCCACAAACCTATATACCCTATGGCCCCTGTAAATCCCCCGAGTACCCAAATATTAGGCTGTGGGGCCCAAAACCATGAAGATTGTGGTTTAAAGCCCCCTTATTTGGGTTCTTGGAAATTTGGGGCCATAAACAACCGCTAACCCGTGCTGAGTTCGCTGGCTGATTGACACATCGCTGGAGAAGTCGACAGAGGCCACCCAGAAACGAAGCCTTTGCTTACCGAAGCCTTTGCTTACCAAGACCCTTTCTGGAGCATTTCTAGGAGAATGGAAAAGAGAATGGTAACTATAACGTTAGTTGGGGCTTAGGGTTTAGTACCTTCCATTGGGGATATATGGCCCTTGATAGCAGGTAATTACTTAACTAGGTCCTAATAGAGGGGGTGGAGAGTCTGGGTAGATGTTTTTCAGTTTAGGGCTAAGTAAGAGTGTAGGTAATACGGGGGTTTTGGTCACCCAACCCCATAACAAGGACCGCCTGGCCATCACGTGACTAGAATAGCTTCCTAATTTTGGGGTTTGGGATTAGCGAACCCTCGTACTACCTAATACACGCCCCGTACAACCCTTGTATAGCTACAGTGTTAATGTAATTTTCCCTTTTCTTTTCCTCCAAGAACAAGTTGCCATTCTATTGTCCGTTTGATTCTCCATTTTTAGGGTTGCTTAAATCCAAACCCTGAAAAACGAAACGCCACACCCTGAAAAGCAAGTTCCATTTCATGGTCCAGCCCATTCTCCTTCATGAGTGTTACCAAGGTCCCCGTGGCTTGATGTAGGAGCTATGACCGAGGCCGCAAGGGCTAAAGTCATAGAGCAGATGAGGGAAGAAGGACCCTCCTCAAAGGAGTGCCCCAAGAACTCTTGGGGCCCATAGCACGACTATTAGGGGCTGCTGTAGTCCATTGGGGCCCACTGGGGGTTGGATACGGGACGGCTTCTCTCAAGGGGTGTGTGCTTCATCAAGCCTATGATCAGGGTGTCTAAGTCAGGAGAGGAGAAACATCAGAAGGCACGGCAGTTAAGCACCCAAAGAAGAGGGGCAGCCGGTGTGCTAACCCCAAACTGACGACCAACTACGCTTGCCAATGGGGGCGGTCTATACAAGGGGAACATAGGAAGCATGGGGCGTTGTTAAAGGGGTATATACATACGGCCTACATGGCAACTCTAATCGTTTAATTGCCTTAGATATCACCCGTCGAGTAGCAGTAAAAAGCGGAATATAGGAAGCATGGAAAGTTATTCAGGGGGTATATAACCTAAACCCTAAACCCTAAACCCACCCTAAACCCTAAACCCTAAATATACGGTCTACATGGTAATTCCACTCCTGGAACTCATTTGCCTTACCAGTCAGCGAGTGAGTAGCAGTAGCTGTAAGGATCCAAGCACCCCAGATACCTAACCCTAGAAGCCCAGTTACCTGTATATTGGGTTCCTGTCCTTAAGACCCTATATAATTTTATACTATCTCCTACTATATGGGTACCTGGGCTTCTAGTAAACAGGATGTAGTTTGGTTCCGAATTGGGGTTCCTATGCAGTTGTCTTGGGCTCCAATTATGTCTTTTTTGGGTACTTGGACCCTTAGGGTAAGCCCTAACCCTAAACCCTAGACCCTAGACCCTAAACCCCTAAACCCCTAAACCCTAAACCCTAAACCATTAGCGTCAGCCCTCATCCCTAGACAGCTGAGCACCTCCTGAGCTTGATCGACAACAAACGCCACAAAGCCGCATGTGACGGGCTCACGGGTTTACCCTTAGGCCCAAAATAGCCCAAAAGCCTGGGTTACCTAAACTCCCAGAACATATGTAACACAATAGCCCTAAACCCTAAACCCTCTTATTTTACATACTTTAGGGCCCACGTACACCCTAAACCCTATAAATCCTAAATAGTACTGTCCATTGTCTTGTCCATTATCCCTATATAACCCCGATATAGCCCCCTATATCCCCCTCTAAAGGAACCCCTAAATAATAGTTTCCATGTTCTTTGCCATTATCCCTATATAACCCGAATATTTAGCAAAGAAAAATCCACCTCTCCAGGACGATAAATACCTTCATGCTGGTGGACACCCAATACGAGCAGCGTTTTTTGGTGGTTGAACCTAGCAAGATTATATTCCTTATGCAATATACTCTACCCTAAAAGGAGGATATAATCTTACTCTATATTGGGTACCATAGTGTCCCCAAACAAAACACTATTCATATGGGGGATTCCTAAACTTGACGGTACCTAGTCTGGGGGTCCCCTCAATAAGGATTATGGTATTTTTGGGTCTATATTGAGTTCTCCTATTTTGGGACATTGTCATATAGGCACTGATCAATCTTCCTGAGGAGACGGTGTATACAAAAGACCCAGAACAAAACCCTACCCCACATAACCCTAAACCCTAAGCCCTGAACCCTAAACCCTAAACGCCTAAACCCTAAACCCTCAACCCCTAAACCCTAAACCCCTAAACCCTAA